GACCTGAAAAATAACTGTAAAAGACAGCAGTCGTATATTGATTAAGACAATTGTACTTTTCTCATGTCTTTCCAGCTTAATCAGCCCCTCATAGCTGAAAGCTCCTGGCAGGGACTGTCATTTGGTGGTTGGTTGATTGGTTGAAAATCAAGGAGTAAGAAGTCAAGAGGAGGGTTTGGAGGCACCGGTGGGGGGGGGGGGCGGGGGATGGGGCGGTTCTGGAAAGGCACCTGTAGGTTGTAACCAGCTACTTGGACATATCCATTTGCAGTCCTCTTGGCAATTTTGGAGTTACTTGTTGAGTGTATATATAATATGCACTTCTAAATTAAACATTTTCCATTAAGGTCTTACATTATGTGGCTTTCTTCATCTTTGGCAACATGAAGCTTTCTAATAGAAATTTTAGAGTATGTGTCATATGGTAATGGTTCCTAAGGTGTGGTCCCTAGACCTCTGGAGGTTCCAGAAACCCTCTCATGGAGTCCACGCGGTCAGAATTATTTTCATAATGGTATGAGGACATTGTCTTTTTCACTGTGTGTGCATTTGCCCTGATGATGCAAAAGCAGTGGGTGAGTAAGATGGCTGGCACCTTAGCAGGAATCAGGGCGGTGGCTCCAAGCTGTACTAATGGTTATTGCATCCTTCACCCTCAGTTGTTTCTTAAAAATCAGTTTTATTTTTAAATGTCCTTGATGAAATAGTAAAGATGATTACTTTTATTAAATCCCAGCCTTTGAATATACATCATATATCTTTTTAACAGTGTGTGTGACGAGGCAGGAAGGATGCTTAAAGCACCCTAGTGTTTACCGGAATACTTCAGGGATTGTGTTTGGAGCTGAACTAGCTACTTTCTTCATAGGACACCATTTTTACTTCATATGAGGATGGACAGACAAATTCTTGGGCATTTGGCAGACATTTTCTCAAAAATGAATGAAGTGAGCCAATCACTTCAAGGAAACAACTGAAAATATTTGTTGCCAATGATAAAATTCCAGCTTCTAAGTGGAAATAAGAATTTCGGAAAATTTGTACTTGCCACTGTGAGCTTAACAGTTTCCAAATATTTAAAGCCTCCTCAGATAAGACAGGTAGTGATATAAACATGTGATTTTTGACATGTTTTATATTGAAATGTGTCAACACTTGGAAGATCTGCCTGTATCAGTGAAATAATGTTTTCCAAATGACCCATGCAGAATGTCATACAATCATGCACGAACGATCCATTCGAAGTGCAAGAAGAATAGTGTATTTTACTGTAATGTATATGAAAAATTCATTGCTGTGGTTTCAGCTTTCACACTGCAGCGAGCCTTTAAGAAACTACTATTTGCTCAATTTTGTTCTAGTATCAAATAAGAATATCCGCAATTACCTAAAAAGGGTGTTGAACTATTCCTCCATTTTCTAACTACATATCTGTGTGAAGTTGAATTTTTTCATATACTTCAACCAAACTAAGGACTCACAACTGAGTGCAGAATATGAGAACCCAGCTGTCTTCTATTAAACCAGACATTAAAGAGATTTGCAGAAATGTAAAACAGTGCCACTCTTCTCATTTTTGTTTTGTTTTGGAAAGTAAAGTTCCTAAAAATTAAAAAGAAAATGCTGTTAACATTAACATGTAATAATTTATAATTGTCTTTTTAAAGAATGGAGAAGTATTTTTTAAATCTTTCCATTTTTAATTTCTGAGAGAGTAAATATTGACAGCCATAAACCACATGAACAAAAGACCCCTTTGGGGTCCTTAATGATTTTTAATAGGACAAAGGCATCTTCAAAACTGCTGTCATGTGACATGAAACAAGAAGGGCTGCGTCTCTCTCCCCGACTCCCTCCCTCCCTCTCCTTAATTGAGGTATAAGTCACAGATAATGGAAGGGTTTCCTTTTTGATAATGGTACCTGCCCCAAAGTAGCAAAGGCTATTTTTAAAAACACCATTTACAATATTTGCTCACAAAAGAGTCTTATTTTGAGATTTGGAGGTTTTTTTTTTCCATTAAGTTTTCCACATTTTAGTCAAGAATGTAAGTGGGTTGATTAGTTTTTCATCTGTTTTGAATTTTCTTGTAGCTGCTGTCAAAAACGTCCACGTTGAGGGGAGTGGAATCGTTTAGTGGTAGAGCGTGTGCTTAGCATGCATGAGGTCCTGGGTTCAATCCCCGGTACCACCACTGACCGAAAAAAAAAAAAAAAAGTACCATTTTATATCCATGTAACAGTGGCAGCAGTCTGGCATCATCAGAGATGTTTTAATATAGCATGAAAAAGAACCAAGCTATGTTCACAAGCAAGTACTAGTTTATTTGTTACTGAGTCAGGTTTTTATTACTAGTTTTGTTGTTCTGTTTTGTTTTTTAATGGAGGTACTGGGGAATGAACTCAGGACCTCATGCGTGCTGAGCATGCACTCTACCACTAGAGCTATACCCTCCCCCAAGGTTTTTATTATTAAGATCTTCTATCTTTGGACCCTGTTATTTTGGTAAGTGCTTTATTATAGGTTGCAAAATGTTCTTGAAGGCAGATAACTTTATTGAAAACATATTGTTGGCTTGAGGCCAGTAATTTTTAAGCGGGACTCAGTTCAAATGTAGGTTAAAAAAAGTTGCTATCAAAAGCTGTTGCTTTAAATTGTACACAATAGGGCTAAAAAGAATTGCAAAGTAATATGAAAAGGGTAAATATGAAGTTACGTTGCTAGCAGGACAGGAGTGAACTCTAAGAGCAGAGGATTTTAGCAAGTTTTCAAGGAAATGTCTATAACTGCTAAAAATAGTAAGGCTTTGGTGATAGGAAGTTACACAGAGAGAGGGCTCTCAAATGGAGCGAGGGATGTGAAAAGGAGTTTTAAATAAATAGAATCATTATGAAATTATATTAACAAAGGGTTAACAATTAGCAGAGAGCTGTAAAGAAGGCTTGCTCTAAATAACCAGGAATGGTTGTAACCATTACTTGAATAGTTTGTGTATTTGTTCTCTCAAGTAATTTAAAGAGACCTACAGTCTTGTTTACATTATGCATTTGCTAGCCAACCCTTGTTTGTCTAGATAATGTGAATAAATAACCTTCCTGAGCAGTGTTTCTTGAAATGAAGTCTAGGAGTTTGTGGAATATATTCTGGAGGACCAGGAATCAGTGAAAACCTTAAATATTAGTGCTTGGTTTTTATGATAATATTAAAATTTACTAGGTCTAAAGACACATGTTTTACAGTGATTACTTTCAATTAGAAGACATTCTAGTAAAATAAAACTTGGATTTCTTAAATTGAGGTTTCTCGGACTGTTCTGTGGGTCTAAGGGGGAGTAAGGTAGAGGAAATTATTTTCCTTCAGAAGAGGGTTTCTCAAGTTTGAGAAGAACTGTCTTTGACTCTGCCACCGCCAGTGCTGATATGTTCAGTTTGACTTACACGGAACGTTGTCTCATTTTACAGTGTGCACTGCTTTGAATGGAAAATAGAATCAGAGCACGTGACAGATTTAAAATGAAAGATGCTGGATCTAGAACATAAGCTGGAGGATGCTGCTGAGTGCATGCTGTGCGGTGGCAGACGCCTGGGACAGAGTTACGCTGTGGCTTTGTGTTTTTATATTTGAGCTGGCCCGTTTCCATTTCACATGAGCCTCACGACTGATTTGTGAATTAGGCAGGGATTCTGTCTTCATCTCGGGGCTGGAGCTGCGTCCTCTATTACCGTTACCTCTCACGAGCAAACTTTCCACTTTGGCAATTCTCTTCCCCGAGATGGTGCCCTAATGCTCTCTTCACTAATTCAGTGCAGAACTGTGTCCGACTCCGGCGCGCTGATCCTTGGCTGCTGTTTCAGATCCACCAGCTCACAGGCCTCCCTCCTTGAGCTCTGAATAGATCTGTGTTTCCAGCCCTCTCCTGGACCTGTCACTCCCTCACTCAGTATATCCCTTCACCCCACACTGCTGTACTCACGGGACGCCGAGCCAGGGAGTCGCCCTAGAACCCTCCCCTCCCCTCGCATCCTTCCCAGCCTCCCCATCTAATCAGTCAGTATGACTTGTTCATTGTAAAATCCTTCCTTCTGCTCCAGTTTCTCTCCTTGGGGCTACTGAACCATCCCCCGACTTTCAGCTCCTGGGGATTCTAAACATAGCTGTGGTCATGCCTGAGCTTTGCAAGCCCTTCGGGTGGCTCACTTGTGCCCACAGAGCGTCTCGGCACCTTAGTTCACATTCAGGGCCCTGGGTGATCCTGTGGGACCCTCTAGTTCCGTCACCCGCCACCACTCCCTGGCGCCCTACCCCCACCTTGCGCTCCAGCAGGACCAGTCCACCTGATTCCTGGACCTCTCCCTGCCTTTGCATTAGCTGTGGCTGGAATACCTACCCACTCTCGCTCTTCCAGACTAGGATTCTCAAGGAACTCTGCACATCAGGACTGTATTTCTGTTCTTTTTGGTCCCCCAGCCCTCAAGCACCTAGCTCTTTCCTAGCACACAGTGTAGGCTTGATGCATGTTGGAATGTTGGAATAAAGCCTGTATGAGTCATTTTATTTGTTTGAAGAAAGCGGTATTTTGTAACTCTGCTCCCTCCCATTTCCTCGCCCCAGATTTCAATGAGCTATCTTGAATGCTAAAGCAGAGATAACAGTCAAAGTGCTGATAGCGTGGCTGAGCTAACAGGGGTGTTTCGCCTCTCAGTTTCCGGTATCTGGAGGAGATACTTTTCTTTGCATGGAGATGTTAAGTTCATCCAGACACCATGTTTCTAGCAGGAATAGGGATCGTGGACGAATGGGTCAGAGTTCAATTTCTCAGGCAGTTTTCAAACCAAACTTGGTAATGTTGATTTAAAATTGCTCAACGAAAGAGCACCCAAGTACAATCATGGAAAATGTTAGAACTGCTTTCTACATACTGAGATATTGTTGAGAGAATTGTTCACTGAAGTTACGTTAATCACAGAGAAAGATTACTAACTCATTTTTTTTTCAAACAGGATCAATTTGACAACTTAGAAAAACATACACAGTGGGGAATTGATATTCTTGAGAAATACATCAAATTTGTAAAAGAAAGGACAGAGATTGAACTCAACTATGCAAAGCAACTCAGGTAAGTTGATACTGAGACAGATTGTTTAACTGCAGAATGAATGTAAGGATAATTTATTTCCTCATTTTATAGTATAAATGTATAATCCTTAAAATATTTCTTTTCCCCTTTCATGTCAGCTTATATTCCAATAGAAACAATTGTTTTTTAATATAGAAAATTAATTTTCATAAGATAGTAAACCTAAAAGCCAAGTTACTGCTTTTAGGCTCAGTTTCTTAAAAGGATATCTGCTGAATTTTGGAGCAGCTTATTTTTTTCTTTTCAGAAAAATTTTTTCTTGAACTATATTTATACAGAAAAGTGCACAGATCGTAAGTGTACAGCTCCAGAAATTTTCAGAGTGAATACAACCATGTGACCAGCACCCAGGTCAAGAAGCAAAATCACCAGCCTCAGAGGTCCCCCTGGCCCTTTCCGGCTCCCCCACCCCACGCGCGGTTGACCGCTCCTCTGACATCTGCCTATTTCTGATCCTTCTGTGAATGTAATCATTTATGACGCACTGTTCATAGTTGGCTTCTTTTGTTCCTCATTATGTTTATGAGATTCATTCGTGTTGCATGTGATGGTACTTTTCACTGGTATTTAGTATTTTGGTGGAGGTGTGTAATCACAGTTGGTCCAGTCTGCTGTCACCAGGCTATAGCTTGTTTCCGATGTGACGATAACACAATATAAACCCAGGAGTGGAATTCCTGGGTCATGGGCTTTGTGTATGTTTAGCTTTAGTAGATGGAGACAAACAATTTTCTAAAGAGCCTGTCGGATCCATGCTCCCTCCAGCAGCGAGGGAGAAATCCTTCTTGCAACTTTAAGGATGAAATTATCAAAGAAATTTGTGTTTTTATATAAAATGGTTAAAAGTTGCTGGTAGGACTAAGCTTGAACTTGGGGCAAAAAATGATTTCTTTCTTGGTTAAATTGGTTTGTGCAGATGGTTTTAAGACTGGTGAAACATCTAGATGGCTTTGGCTTTAGAAATATTTCATTTTAATCTAAAGACCTTTTGGATAAGGTGTATGGCATGTATCTTTGAAAGAATGTGGGTTTTTACAGGGCTGTTGCTGTTGCTGCTTGTAAATAGGAACCTGGGTGGTACACATGATGCTTTTATGGATGATAAGTTTTGGTTCCACTGAGCAAATAAAATATAAGACATATTGCTTAGTGAAATAATTTTTATAAATAAATTTTTATACATTTTATTTTTATAAATAAAT